TAACGCCGCAATCTAATAAAGCCGCATATAGAGTAGAGCTTGGAAGGTTGAAACTGGTTAAAAATTTATTTTAAAATGTTAAAATTGCACTCTTTGTGTTTTCGATAAATCGCATCCCTCAAAATGCTTCTCATACGAATCTATTTGTCTATTTTGGAATTATATAAAATTCGGTGAAAGATGGAATATTCCATTCAACTCGGCTGTCGCCTCGTTGAATGGAACATTCCATCTTACACCTCATGTAAATATTCTTACCATTGCACTCATAAACATTCATTATTTGTATATACTATACCGAGGGGCATTTCACTCCAAAAAAGCGTACGGGATTTTCGGATTTTTAAAAATCCGCGGATTTTTCCCGGATTTTTTGGCGGATTTTTGAAGAGAAAATCTGTTGGATTTTCCGGATTTGTTTCGATTTTCCGGATTTGTTCGGATTTTTTCCGGATTTTTTGACGAAACGTATGGGATTTTCGGATTTTTTTTAAATCCGCGGATTTTTTAGCGGATTTAGCGGATTTTCCCCGGATTTTTAGCGGATTTTTGAAGAGAAAATCTGTTGGATTTTCCGGATTTGTGCGGATTTTTTCCGGATTTTTTGACGAAGTGTACGGGATTTTTGGAGTGAAATGCCCCTCGTACTATACGAGTAATACGACGGTATATCAACGCATCCAGAGTGCTCAAACAACTACAAGGGAAGTGAGCAATCCGGTCAGTAATCCGGCCAGCGACAAATATAGCTTGTGTTAATATTGGCAGGAGAGGTTTTTCATCATTTGTAAATCTGAGTTCTTAACTGCAATGAACTTGTGACTTGCAATTGCATGCATGCCAACATGCAAGTAATTAAATTCACACTGACGAACTCCGTTACATATAAATCTCCATGGATTTCTATAGTTAAATTATTAATCTTAACGTTGCTTCAGAGACTTGAGCAGAGCGGCAATTAAGTAATTAATTTTAACACATAAAACATTTATAAGTTTTTAAACGTTTTAATTTAAAATGTTTTAATAAACTGAGATCTTTCTCGTACCTTAATTTATTATATTGGCCTACAGTTTCATCGAGCACTCTAGCAAACGTATTTGCAAAACATTATATATATTTAAAATACTCATTAATAATTCATAATCTTGTGGCAAATCATGTAGCCATAATATGTCACGTGGAGTGACTTTATACTGATAAAACACATGTGGCATTATATATATAATTGTTCATCCTAATTAGTATTCTTACATAAAGAATACTAATGAGACGGCATCTTTTGTAGTCGTATTTTAAGCTATTCAAAACATTGGTTGTCGTGTTTTATCGGATATAAAACACTCCTACTCGTGTTATAAATAGTATACATAGTTAAAAAACTTCAACAGACATATGCTTGGTTAAAAATGATTCATTTAAAAAACCTAAACGTTTCGCCGTTTAATTTGTATTTACACACTTAGTTATTTTAATTAAGAAAATCGTGCACAAAATAGGGCGTTATATTGGTGTCAAGACATACTATACCCAATGAAGTCCCCAAACGTTCCATATATATATATATATATATATATATATATATATATATATATATATATATATATATATATATATATATATATATATATATATATATATATATATATATATATATATATATATATATATATATATATATATATATATATATACCAGACATGATACCTCAAACATGTTCACAATATATGTATATAATAATGGAAACTATTTCCGATGTGTACTTTATTATGCCGCAAATTCCTGACGTCTATATCTAAGGCCCGGTTTAGACGGCGAACTTTTCATGCGCCGAATCTAATTGTCGTAGATACGGCAAAATATTGGAAACTGATTTAGACGTCGAACTTAATTGTGCCGTACCAAATTGCGAGGACACTATATTGGACATATTTACAATGCAAATATATGATAAATCATGTTATGATGTTAAAAAATAATTATGCATTAGGTTCGGCGCATGAAAAGCACGGCGTCTAAATCAATGTCGAACCTGTGTCGCATATACGACTTGTCTTGTCGCATCTTCGACTCGTGTCGAACTTAACCAAAACCTGCCGAACTTAATTGATTTAGACGCCGCTCCAGCGTCGCACTTAATCATTACATTAGATTCGGCGCATGAAAAGTTCGCCGTCTAAACCGGGCCTAATTCGTCAGATTTTAATTAATTTTATTTATTTATCCACTTCTTGCGTGACTGCAGAAGAAACATGATGAAAAATTTGCGTCTTCGATTTTTTCTTAAAATGTTAACTTTAAGCTTTTTCCTGCTGGTTTTCATTGCAAGATTTAAGGCAGAGCAATGTCGCAACAGATATTTTAAAATCGTCAGCAGTGGTGAGTCTTCGTTCTCAGTTATAAAACACAGTTTTAAGTTGCATGCAGTGTAGAATATACCAGTTATATTGTTTTGAAAAACTCTCTTTATAGTCATGAGACGTATAATTTTCTAGAATCTCTCAACATTTTGTTTACTTTATTTTAAAGAAGGTCCATCGTTACCTCTTGAAGAGATCATATCAAGCCACATCGTCGAACGCCCTGTCCATGTGAATTGCAATTTTTTCTGCTTCAATGACAATAATGTATCAAAATGTGTTGGATTTAACTTCAGAGAGAAAACCAAAGGGAAAGCTATAAACTGTCAACTGACTAACACCGCTAAAAAAAGGAACCATACAGAAGAGGGAGAATGGACGTTGTATCAGGATGTCGATGCCGTACGTATAAAATTGAGATTGTTTAAAAAAAAACACAAAAAAACATTCTTGCTTTCATATATATTTCAAATTCGGGAACCGTCATTTTTTGGGCGGCGCTAAAGGGGCGGCGCTAAAGGGGGGAGTGGGGGATAATTGCAAACCTCTCTTAATTGCAAATGACTAATAATTGCAAATCCCAGTGAGCATTTGTTTTTGTAGTCGGAAAAACATGAATTTGACAGGAAAAATTTTGAGAAAAGAAATATTAATCAGTGATTGAAATGGTTCGCTAATGGTTCTGGTTCGTATTAATTAGTGATCGGAATGGTTTGCTAATGGTTCTGGTTCGTATTAATTAGTGATTGAAATGGTTTGCTAATTGCTATTGGTTCTGGTTCGTATTAATCAGTGATTGAAATGGTTTGCTAATGGTTCTCGTTCGTATTAATTAGTTATTGAAATGGTTCGCTAATGGTTCTGGTCCGTTAAGGTAATGTTCGCTAATGGTTCTGGTTCGTGTAGAGAGCACGTTTTAGTTAATTATTTATTCATTTTTTTTTAAATTCGGGTGACGGGTTTCGGGCAACAGACCTCAGCCCCTTCAATGAGATAGGTCCCGTACGCCTATGTTTCCGGATGGACCGCCTTCCAATAATAATACTAATAGTTATATTATTTATTTGTTTCGTTTATTTGAAAATTCAGTTAATTTTCTTATCTTATAGGCAAAAAATGAAAATGAGGAAAAGAAAACGTCTGAAGGTATTCCTCACGATAAGATTATACCACTGACTTTAAGGCCTGCTATACTGAGGGTTTCCCACTAACTAGCGGGACCTCTGAGGCCAAATTGCGTCCCACTGATGTTAAAATATGCCTTGTATGGGGTGTGGTCGTCTGAGTCGCCCTATAGTATATAAGCCTGCACATCGCGGCCATGCATGTTTTTTTTGTTTCAAGTTTTCCATGTTGAGATAAGATAACGTTAAAACAAACTGAAAGTGTCAAACTGCGGACAAGTTTCACAATCAAACACATATACGCAATTTACTCCAATAATATATATCATATTTTTCTGTTTTATGGGAAAACGTCGAGCAATTAAGTCACAAATCTGGTGAAAGAGAAGATGGTGTATACACAGAACAGGTTGACATAAATTTTTACTGTTTATATTCTATTAGTTCAACCCACCTCAAGAAAACCTATTTCGACAACAGCGACACCCGTGACAAGTTGTTCAAGTTTATTCAAATCTGGTGAGAGAAAAGACGGTGTTTACACTATCAACCCTGATGACCTTGGATCTTTCCACGTCAGATGTGATATGCAAACAGATGGTGGAGGGTGGACAGTGTTCCAAAGAAGACAAGACGCAAGTGTAGATTTCTATCGTGGATGGCAAGATTACAAAAATAGTTTTGGTGATCTTAACGGTAATTTTTGGCTTGGTTTGGATCGAATACATCGTTTGACAAAGTCAGGACAAAATATTCTAAGAGTGGACTTGATGGATTGGACAAACGATACAGCAAAAAAATATATGAGTGCATGACATAGCGTTTTTATATTATCGCCCAGATAAAGGCACATGCATGCATGCAACTGCAGGTATAGTTTTTGCTCATACAATTTAAGTATACATTAATACACAACAGACAGCGTTAGCTTGGGTCTGCAAAACAGCTGTTTCCCAGCCAATACGTGTTAAATAGGGAGTTTAATTAAAGATCAGTTTTGACGACGACGAACTACCGACTATAGATTGGAATGCAAGAAATATGTATATTCCGAAAAGCTTTCCAACCGACATGGAGAACTTTCAACGTTACATGGAGAACTTTCAACCCCGGGGTTGAACTCAGCCCTGTTAACCGGCTTGAACTTTTTTGCGATTACATGAACGATTTCAACCCCGGGGTTGAAACGCTATTACTATACGTTCTCGGCATCGATTCCCTGAAGTAAAAAAAGCCTTCATTTTATTCTCTTGTAATAAATCGTCACTACCACGCATGCTCGAATAAGTCATGATAATTTCAGCCCTGGGTTGAAACGACTACATGACAAAATTTTCAACCCAGGGCTGAGTTCAACCCCGGGGTTGAAATTTCAACACGGCTAGCTGAAGCAGGGTTGAAATTTCAACCCCGGGGTTGAACTCAGCCCTGGGTTGAAAATTTCGGTCATGTAATCGCGCGTTTGATTTTGATAGAGTTTTGTATTACAGACAGGGCTGAAATTTCAACCGGGTAAACAGGGCTGAGTTCAACCCCGGGGTTGAAAATGTAATCGGCCCCTAAATGCATGTCATCACAAATAGACAGGAAATATGGCAGCACACATTTAAATTAAATGTTTAATGTAAATTTTTGGTTGTTTAAAAAGTTGATATTTGATACACATATTTGGCGCCTCATGACCCCATATATTTTGTCCCTCCAAACGATCCCAGAATGCACTGTGATCTCTTTTGGGAAAAAGCTAATTCACGTGCACACTAAAGAACTCCGTCACATATAAATCTCTTGGATTTCTATAATCAAATTCTTAATCTTAACGTTGCTTCAGAGACTTGAGCAGAGCGGTAATTAAATAATTAATTTTAATACATATAACATTTATAAATTTTTAAACGTTTTAATTTAAAATGTTTTAATAAAGATCTTTCTCGTACCTTAATTTATTACGCTCTGGCCTACAGTTTCATCGAGCACTCTAGCAAACGTATTTGCAAAACATTATATCTAATTAAAATACTCACTAATAATTCATAAACTTTGTGGCAAATCATGTCACCCATAATATGTCACGTGGAGTGACTTTATATCCGATAATGTGGCATTATAATTGTTCATCCTAATTAGTATTCTTATATAAAGAATACTAATGAACGGCATCTTTTGTAGTCGTATTTTAAGCCATTCAAAACATTCGTTGTCGTGTTTTATCCGATATAAAACACTCCTACTCGTGTTTTAAATAGTATACATAGTTAAAAAACTTCAACAGATATCATATGCATGGTTAAATTAAAAATGATTTATTTTAAAAACCCAAACGTTTCGCCGTTTAATTTGTATTTACGCACTTAGTTATTTTAATTAGGAAAATCGTGCGTAAAATAGGGCGTTATATTGGCTTCAAGACATACTACTATACTGATGAAGTCCCGGAACGTTCCATATTTACACCAGACATGATACCTCAAACCTGTTCATAATATATGTATATAATAATGACAAACTATACCCGATGTACATTATTATGCCGCAAATTCCTGACGTCTTTATCTAATTCGGCAGATTTTAATTAATTTTATTTATTTACCCACTTATTGCGCGACTGCAGAGGAAACATGATGAAAAATTTGTGTCTTCGATTTTTTCTTAAAATGTTAACTTTAACCTTTTTCATGCTGGTTTTCATTGCAACATTTAATAAGGCAGAGCAATGTCGCAACAGATATTTTAAAATCGTCAGCAGTGGTGAGTCTTTGTTCTCAGTTATAACACATAGTTTATGTAGCATGCAGCACATGATATACCAGTTATATTGTTCGATCTGAAAAAACTCTCTTTATAGTCAGACGTAATTATTTAGAGTCTCTCAACATTTTGTTTACTTTATTTTAAACTAGAAGGTCCATCGTTACCTTTTGAAGAGATCATATCAAGCCACATCGTCGAACGCCCTGTCCATGTGAATTGCAATTTTCTCTGCTTCAATGACAATGTATCAAAATGCGTTGGATTTAACTTCAGAGAGAAAACCAAAGGGAAAGCTATAAATTGCCAACTGACTAACACCACTAAAAAAAGGATCCATACAGAAGAGGGAGAATGGACGTTGTATCGGGATGTCGATGCCGTACGTATTCAATTGAAAATGTTTGCAGGATATTTATATATATATATATATATATATATATATATATATATATATATATATATATATATATATATATATATATATATATATATATATATATATAT